CTGGAATTACTCGGCGTTGCAGTATTAGGGAAAAGTCTGTAGCGGAATATAGTAACGCCCCCGTAGTGCCATTCACACCTCACCTGCGTTCCTACGTTCCTGCGGGGACCACTCGGTGGAAGGGTGGCGGCCAACATCGTGCTCTTCGACTTTTTTTTAAACTAAGGGTATACCCTAGACGCCTCTAAGGACGCTCCAGGACACTCCAAGGATACTAGGGTGTCGTAACGGCGGACACCACCCTGGCGCTACGTTCCCTATCCGACGTGTGCTGCGGGAACACGAAGCCAGCGCTAAGATGGCTAAGGACAGAGCCTCCTTGCGAATGCTGCGAAGGACGCAGCCGGCACTGCTGCCCATGCCACGTCTCGTGATCGGCAAGCAGGTACCCAAAGTGGGCATGAGGGAGTCACGAGTTGCAGCAGTTGGAGCCGGCCGGTCAGGCCGATCAGATGTCCGGGTGCGCCGGTGCTATCTTGAGCTTCTTGAGACTTCCTTCGGAGGGTTCTGTCACATCCTTGGGCGGTTCTGCGTCAAACACTTCTCTGGTTCCGGGTCAAAGCGAATTATGCTTCACCCCGCTGGACCCAAAAATGCCTGACTCGGCCGTCCCCAGGGTCATTGCACTCCTCAGGGTGTAGAGGCGTGGAGACCCTGGGCCACAGACGAACTTGATAAGATTAGTGCCCTCCTCTCACTCGTCTCCACCACCGCGGCTAGTCACCATACGTCATGCGATGCGAGAGTGTATCGCATGATGTAGCCCGTGTCCCCCGCACGCGAGTTAAAGGGTACCAACAACAGCCACATGTATGCTGCGCTGGGAATCCGAACAAGAAGCAAAGGAACCGGTCCACGTTCCGGTCGTGGTCCGACAGAGTTTGACATGCCGGTTTACAAGCCAGGTAACCGGACCTCCGGACCTGCGACCGGACTTGCCCAATCCTTCCGTGGGCACTCAATTACGGCACCAAGAGATCGGGCAACACGCACCGGCCGCGCCGGCCGATCGGGGTCGAGGTTGAGGCACATGCGCACCCATGTCACGAGTCTCGGATGCTCGGATGCAGAAGCCTAGACTGGAACAGGTGAACGCCGCAACACCAGGACGCGCCAACGCGCTAGGATGCAGAGCGTCGGTGAGTCAGAGAAGAGTGCGGTGACCAACAAAGAGATCGGTGCACTGTACTCTCGACCCGCACATGCCCGCACACCTCTTCCTCCGAGCTCATGATAAGCACAGCGTGACTCACAGTGACTTGCTGTGCGGCGCACAGATCGCACAGAGCGAGCCGTAGTGAGCGATTACTGGAATCCAATCAGGCGTCACCCTGCGTGAGGCGGCGTTCTACACCTTCCACATTGGAACGCACATGGCAAGGCATGCAGGGCACGGAAATAGGGGTCGAGAGCCTGGACACACGCTCACTTGATCACTTGGCTCCGCAGATGTGCGCAGTGCAAGCTGGAAGGGCGAAGACACTGATCGCTGAGCCTGGCCACGAACGCCACACTCTGCACTAATACGCCAAGGCGGAGCAAGGCCGGGGCCGTCGGAGCTGGTTTGAGCACAGTTGCATGCGGGCAGACGCCTGCGGCAAGAATGACATGCACGGGGCGTTAGGCGTAGAGTCTTGAGGTTTGGCCTCTCGCTGTGGTCCTCAAGCGGGGCTTAGTGACCGGTGGCGAGCTAAGGCGGGCTCTTGGGTGCAAGTGTTGAGTATGAGCACGGCAAGGATCCTGTTTAGCTTCCTAGCTCAGCTCCCCTGTTGCCACTCTCAGGATGATAACTGGCTCGATGAGACCTCTGATGTTAGATATCGCCGTCCGCCTCAATAGTAAAACCGACAAACCAACGAGCGAAGATCGATAGCACAACGCACACAAAAGGACTCGCGTCTACAGGCAAGTCAAGTTAGTTCCGTGTTCAAAACGACGTGTCAGATCAACACAAGACTGCGAAGTTGTAAGAGAAGGTCTAGCCCCGTCGATCACTCGATCGCGCGTGACTTCAACCAGTGGTCCTGCGAGGAGCTCCTGCCGATCCGTCTATCGGATGTGACCGCCGGAGCCTACACCGTTCATGGCCGTCGCGATCCATCAACTCTCCAACATTCAAGCATCTGCAGCGAAGTCACTGTGAGAGCACGCTGCAATCGCAATCTGCTCCGCCATCTAAGCATGCATTCATCTGTCAGCCAACCTCGGCTTCCTCGGTGGTCATGAACAAGGCCAACCCACATGCTCACCAGCAGCCAGCCACATGAGCGGACCAGCCTCCATCTCAGATCTACCCCATTGATCAGACTGCGGATGGTCTCAATAGCGTCGCCACTTGTCATTAAGCCATTCAGAGCGACCATGCAAAAACAACCCGTATAAACAAACCACCTTCCCCCCCCCTTGTTCCATGCATCACAAACTTCCTTCATCTGCTCGTACATACGGTAGTCTGACAACAAGCTCGTCATGAACGCCATCACAACGTACCTCCAGAAATGGATCGAGGAGGAGCTTGAACATGTCCCCTACAAGCCCAGCGAGCTCTTCTCCTCCAACCATGACCACGCCGCCGCCTTCTGCGCCAAGATCCTTCCTCCATCACGCACAGAACACAACATCTTCGTTCGCAACAGACACAAGCCAATTGCACGTATCGCCCGCTCGTCAGAGAAGCCGTCTGGCTTCTTCGCCAGCCTCTCCCCGCCACCATACCTCTTCACCACGTTCTACTACACCACAAGCCAGGGAATGCGGACCTCATGCTCCCGCTCCGACCTCTGCCAAGCCTATGCCACCCTTCAGTCCGATCTCGACGACACGTATCGCCGCCTATCAGCCCTTCGGGACGTGTACGCCCTCCCCTTCGCCAGCGCCGTAGCGGGCCCAATGGTCCGGTTCGAGTCAACCTTTGGCTCGCGGGTACGAGAGCTCGAGAGGCGATGTGAGGCCATCATGGAGCGGGAAGAATGGGCCCTGGACCTGTTCGCGTCGTACCTTGCCCATCTGCAGCATTTGGAGACGTACGGTACCCTGCCCCAGCAATGGAGGGAGTATCTGGGTCTCGACGCTGAAATGGTCCGCCTCCCGCATGCGAGGGAGAGTATCTGGCTCATGGACGGGATGGATGACTATGTCTTCCGGGCGGCCAGGCTTATCAACACGTCCAGTCTGCCCCCAGAGGTGCGCAGATTGCACCGGGATCTGAGGCAGGTTGCGCAGGAGATGATGGCGCAGAAGGGTTACGCTGCGTGCGTGATCGAAAGGCTCCTTCCCCCATCAAGCGAGAAGAGGCGGCCGCAGACTGTCGCTCCCCCAGCTTACGAGCCTCCCCCTCCGTACTCTCCGTAAAAGTATCCATGTATAATGACTGCATCCGATGACCCAAAGACGATAGTTCCCGCCAATGTAATCTCGTAAGTGACGTCAGAGATAAGATTGGCTTTGACGGGAATGTAAACAATCAACGCGCCCAGCATACCGCTGGTAACCCACTATCCTGTAGCCTACGGCGTCTGCACGACCGTCTGGTCCCACTACAACAGCAGATAGCTAATAGAGCGGAGCGAAAGGCACTCACTGAGGCCGAGTGTGAACGTGAAAAAGATGACCTCTGGCGGGGTCGAACCGCCGACCTTATGCGTAATCCACAAGTGTTAAGCATACGCTCTAACCAACTGAGCTAAGTGGCCCGAATCATGGACACGTGAGGGGCGCAGGGCGCCGGACCAGGGCGCAACGGCGGCGGGTGCGAGCGTGTGCAGCAGTCATACTTCAAGCTGGGCAAGAAGCTGCATGGAGGGAAGACAGGATGACACCTGAGCAGCGGGAAGAAGAGTACGTGGGGGACTGTGCTGTCGGCAGCTGTCACTCTGGGCAGGATGACGAAGTATGCGCCCTTGTACTCCGGGAATATGACATCGCCACCTCAAACCACCGTTGGGGACAGACAGGCAATGTCTGGGGGGCCGACCGCCTCTGCAGGCACGCCGTGCGACGCCGTGGAGACTCGGTAGTGCTTGAGTCGGACTGGCAGCGGAGGCGCCAATGGCGCCGGCACATACGGTAAGCTCTATCGAGGGCTCGCAGAAACGCGACGACTAGGGCATTGTCCAGCGCTTTCAACTTGGTGGTCGAGAAGCCGTGCCGGCAACGGCTCGTTCTCGGACTTGCCCTCTCTTCCCTCATATGTCCATGTCCTCCCCCCTCTCTCTTAGAGGTGAAGCGAAACGCCACTGTCGTGAGGGGGGGTGCTCAGGTATGCACGGCTGTTGCGATCACGGGACGGGACAGAGTGCTTATCTGAGCATGGTCAGCAATTTCGGAACCGAACGTGAAAGGCGAAGGTTAAGAGCGGCAGCAAGATGTGGGATCGGAAATGGGGAGAGAATGTCTCGACCGAGCCTGTGTGACAGGTGATCAGGCAGACAGTCATTGACGAGAGCAGCTGTCCTGCGGGCCGGGCGGGCCGTGATTAATGGCTCTCTGATCGCATCGCCCAGACGTCGGGTCCAGAGACCTGGGAAGCTCCAGACCCAGTCTGCCCTTCAAGTGGGCTCAGATGAAAACCCGGCAGGAGCTGCAGAATGACGACGGGGTGCGTGAGCATCGCGACTCCAGCGTCACAACACCGAGGGCTCGGGGCCGAGAGTCCAGAAAGCACCATGTTCTGTGGATTCGAACTTTGTGCAGAAGCAGTGTTACTGTTCCTGTTGCATGAGGGGTGGGCTGAACGGTGTCGCCTGTGGGGGAGTTGGGATTGGGGGATCTGCACCGCGAAGCGACAACGGAAGCGGGGTGAATATGATGTGAATCCGTCACCCCACAGTGCCTCTCTTGTCGCTTGGTTGCACCGTCAGCTGATCGATCGTCGTCGGAGTCGACTGACCTCGGCCTTCCCAGCGCAGCACAATCGGCGGCAGTGAGCTCATCCGGGCCGCACATATAAGAGGTCCCGCGGTCTAGCTCAGCGAGGACAGTGAACACCCACGGGGAACACCCACAGGATGCTCTCGACTCTCATCTACCTCACTGCGCTCGCGACGGCGGCCATGGCGCAAGAGCGCTGGCGCCACTTGCAGTGGAACCCAGATCCGCTGGCACCGTACACCAACTCGCGTGAATTCTGGTTCCCCTCCTACGAGGTCGGCAAGGTCCCAGTCACCCATGAGAACGGTGACAGGATCACCCTGTGAGTCTCCCGCGCCGACGTGGGGAGGTGTCTGAGTGTCTGTATGTCAGCATGCAGTGTCTGACAGCAGCGCTCCCGGAGTAGCCCTATACATGGGCTCGGCCCTCCGCTTCACCCCCGGCAAGAGCGGGCATCTGCTGACGGCTACGGGAAAGCCTGGCGAGAAGTGGTGCATCGATGCCGGTCTCGGTGAGTCACGACTGTGCTACGTCGTTGCGTCTTCGGGGATTGACCGACCTCCAGACCCGCACAATGGTGCAATCGTCAAGCTCTGGCAGTGCATCGACAACCACCCGCCCCAGGAGTGGATCGTGGCGAATGGCCAGGTCAAGCTTGCCGGCACCAACTTTTGCCTCGACGTCCCCGGAGGAGACGCCCGGGGGCGCCCCGATCTACAGATCTGGGAGTGCTCGTGCAATAAGAACCAGGCTTGGAGAGTCCGCTGCACGCTGCAGCCTGACATCGTGCCGGACTGCGCTGACTGATAGTGAAGCATGCACAGCCCCGTCCCTCTTTGGCTCATGGAAGAAGCAAGTATCAAGGATGGCAGGATCGGAAGCGGGAGCGGGAGCGCAAGCGTCTACCACCTTATGTGTTACTATGTACCAGTGTCGTTCGCCTCTCTACCGCAACGCTACCTCTTGCACGTCAAGCTTATCGCCGGTGCCCGGGTCCATGACTCAGACACAATCGATAAAAGTCCAACATGTTCTGTAGTTTTCTTACTCCTGATGCGTGCGAGCAATGTTGGGAGGGAGAGTGAAACGAGATCCAACTGTGCCACTTCTGTGCTACTTGATCGTTTGGTATCTGGTGATCGAACGGGCATGTTGCATTCTATTCTTCTCTTCTTACAATCTTCTCTCCAACCTCTTATCTCCTCAAGAGCGCAGATACTCTACGCTCTTGGGTCCCCACCTCACAGCAGCCTTGTAGGTCCACATCCCCGGCGCGTTTCCCTTCTGCAGTCCCTCGATCGCGTCCGCAAACTGCGGCCCCAGTCCCTCCGCCTTAACCTGCGACAGGGGATAGAGATAAGTCTTGAACGAGAAGACGAGCGCCTTGCTATCGGGCAGGCGCGTGAGGGTCTGGTGTTCGACGCGCAAATGCGCCTGGGAGACATCGACGCTGTCGGGGTCGACGTCCTCCTGGTCCTCGCCGACGATGTGGTTGCTGCCACTGTTGAACAGGACGCCGTCGACCTGCACGGCCCAGTTCATGCGCGTCACGGGCTTGCCGACCTGGACTTTGCCGAAGAAGCGCTCCATGCTGGGCCCGATGCGCTCGTAACTGGGCACCGGGGCGTGGATCGCGCCCAACCCTTTACCGAGCTTGGACGCTGGGTCAAAGCCGGAGGGGAAGCAGCACACGAACGCGACACACCGGTGCCCACTTGGTTCCTGCACGAGGAGGAAGAAGTCCTCCTCGACCGTCGTCGCGATGTTCTGCAGTGCCTCGAGGGGGTCGGGTGGAGAGAGGGGGAAGTACGCCCCGTTCAGCTTGTTGTGCAGCTGGTTGGCCTTTGTCGTGAAGATGTCCGGGTAGCGCGCGGGAAGATACGCGTACAGCGAGTTGTACAGGTCCATCACCGCCGCTTCGCCCCCGGGCACGACGCCGTGCACGCCCCGCCCCTTTTCGGACAGCAGGCGGCCGCGCAACGACAGGCGTGACGTGAAGTCGCTGTCGATCGTAATCCAGTCGCTCGGGGCGGCGTTCTTGAGCGCTGGAATTGGTCAGCATATACACACAGACATTTCGGGCCGGCTCGAACGCAAGTGAAAGCTCCGACTCACCCATGGTAATGTGGTAAATCGGCTTGAAGGGCCGGTGCTGTGCCGGTCCCCGCGCCCATCCGCCACTCATAGGCTCAATGGGCCCGAGACCAGTCTCGACGGCCCTCTTGTTCCCCCTTGCTGCGCTGTAATACTTGTATCCAGCATAACAAGCGAGCAGAAGTGCGACGAGGAAAAGCTCGGCGAGGATCGGCATTCTTCGCCTCGCTGCCGTTGGTGGTATCGGGGTGTCGGAGATGGCCGGGTGGCGAGATCGGAGCTTTGAGTTGCGATGGAGTAAGCCGGAGGTGGTGCGGGAGTGTAATGCTCGAAAGTGGGTAGTCAGTGAGGAGTGTGTCAGTGATGACGAGCAAGCGGGAAACGATGGAGAAGAGAGCAACGAGAGATCTTATGTATGTCTGGAGACGGAAAGGGTTCATGGAGTTCGCCGAGGCATGTAGGATTCGAGTCAGACGACTGGTTTATACGCACACGAGCAGGAGCGGAAATAACCATCTTCCTCTCGTGTCCTGCCTCCGAAGCTCTTGAGCCTGGAACTGAGGGAAGAGAAGAAAGAGGGTAACGATGGAGGGAGATTTGGAGATCAGCCGGGTCTGTCCCTTCACTACTCCTCCCTTCTTTTCGTCGTCACTACTCCCCTCACCTGACGTCGTTACGACGCCAGAAGGAATATAAAGGTGGGCACACGTCAGAATCCCTAGTGATCCGGCTGAACACCGATCGGACAAGACTTCTTCACCGCTTGGTGCTCTACGCTGGTTATCTTCGCCCTCATGTGCTTATCGCTGCCTGTCGAGATGCACTGATAGCATAGGAGGTACTGTGCTGCACCGGAATCCTCTCTACAGCAAGAGTTGTCCGACTTGACTTTTTGCAACGAGGCATCTGTCATTCAGGATAAGCCAATAGCCGCGGCAAACACTCGGCGTATCTTTCGTCCAGCTTCCGCTATCTCCACTCCCTCTCATCACCGCCCCGACTCCCTCCGTGCTGTTGGCCGGATGCGTGTACGATTAATGCATTGAAAGACATGCGGGAATATATAAAGCCGGTAAAATGAAAAACACGCGGAAGTGCGGGTTTGCCCTACTCGCGAGCGAGAGCGAGCGACGTCCTCTCGTGACACGAGGGGAGATGACGCAGCGAGTAGGCAGGTGAGAGGGTAAGCGGCCAGCGGCGCGCTTAGTGGCACGCAATGAACTGCGCAACGGGGACGTAGTCTGCATGTCAGCGATACTCTGGCAAGAGGGATGGGGGGACGAGCCTCAGCCTGGGACCAGATCGTTTCCACAGAACTGCAGTACAGTCTCCGGTAGCATTTCGTCGTCCTTGGCTCGTTTGATGCTTGCACTGGCCCAGCTGGGCCCAGCTGGGCCCAACAGCGACGACGGCGCATCAGAGGTCTGCGGCGTCGGGCCTTCGGCGGCCTTCGGCCCTCCCCCGCGAGGATACTTACACCAAAACGCAATCGCGATAAGCAGATACAGGAGCATGAGCACGACGCCTTCCATCCAGTTACTCCGTCCGTCGGCGAGCGTCTGGTTCACAATCAGGACCGAGAAGAAGAGCACGACGGCCTCGAACGGGTCGAACAGCATCGTCATCGGTTTCGAGATGCACCACGCGAGCAGCTGCACGACGGGGATCACAAACATGGCGACTTGGATAGAGGAACCGACCGCGACGGCGATGGAGAGGTCTAACGTTAGCGAGTGAGCGAGTGAGCGAACGCAGCGAGCAACTGGGTGCTTGGGGGCTTGAGATGTGGGGCGCCCCGTATCTTCGGCTGCAATGACTTACCAATCTTATCCTTGACCGACACCGAGACGGCGGTGAAGTGCTCAGCGGCATTGGAGACGATGGGGAGGAGGATGAGGCCGACAAACTCGGCCGAGAGCGAGGGGTTGCTCTCGACCAGTCCGTCAATGGCGCTGACCATGAACTCGGCCGTGACGCCGACAATGACGGCGGTGACAATCATCATGGCAATGGTGACGGGGAGGTTCATCTGGGGGATCTCCTCGTCGTCCGAGTCGGCCGAGCTCGAGGAGCTGCCCGAGGAGACGCGGTCGAGCGTCGTGCCATTAGGACCCGAGGTGGCGGTCGTCGTCGCTCCGGGCTCGACCTTGACGGCGGCGGTCTCGACGTCGGTCGGCGCCTTGCGCCTGGGGATGCGGATGCGGCGGCGCACGCGCTTAGCCTTGTTCTTCACGCGGCCTGGGACGGCGGACATCTCGGGCCCATAGGGCGTGGACAGAGACACCTCCTCGTCCTTATAGAGAGAGGCGTGGGTCCACATCTGTCATCAGCGCATAGATACTTAGCATTACGCACCTGGAAGATGAGACTGGAGCAGTAGATGACCAGCAGGATGACGGCGACACCGTGCGACATGGAGAGGATGTCCTTCTGCTCGACCTCCTGCGTGAGGCGTGCGTCGCCGTTCTGGGTGTTGCTCGAGTTGATGGAGAAGTGGAACGCGGAGGGGATGAGCACCGCAATGACCGAAACAAGCAGCAGCGAGGCGTTCAGCTGGCCCACCGTGCCCTTGACCGTCTGTTCCGAGTACTTGATGCCGCCCGCGAAGAAGCACATGCCAAGCACGAGCAGCAGATTCGAAAGAATAGAGCCAATGAGCGACGACTGCGTCACGGCAATCTCGCACTTGATCAGCGCAATGATGGCGACAATGAGCTCGACGGCGTTGCCGAGCGTGGCGTTGATGAGGCCGCCGAGCGTCTGGCCGACGCGCATCGCGACCTCCTCGGTCGAGAAACCCAGCAGACCAGCCAGGGGAATGATGGCGATGAAGTTGACGCAGAACACGGCCGTGTCAGAGATCGACTTGTTACCCCCCGACTTGACAAAGTGCAGCGCCCAGCCGACCGGGATGAAGACGAGGAGCACGTTACTGCTGTCAGCACGGAATAGCGGTAAGTGGCGTCGGAATGATCGTCGATCACCTCGGTTCAAGCTGAGCCATTTGCCGTAGACGCAGTCTGATCATTCCGCGCGCGTCGTCAACGATCAACTGCGCGGCCTGCGTGACCGACAGACTGAAAGACGCATCTCGCAGTGCCTGCGGCACTGCTCGCACACACTCACATCCAGCTCGAGGTGAAGAACGCCCTGATACTCTGCCAGAACGTCGGCGCCGGCCCAACCTTGCGCTCAGGCGTGAAGAGGTCGGACACGACGCGCTGCACGGCAGGCATGTCCTCTGTATTCCTAGAAACGGGGTGCGTCCTTCGGCGGCGGGGGAGCTGGATCGGGCCGCTGTTCTCTCTAACTACAGGGGCCATGGGCTGGGTCGAGCTCCGGACTGGACGCTGTTGCGGCGAGAATTGCGCCGAGGGCGCCTGAGGCGGGGCGAGGTAGCCATTGTCGGTTTGGGGAGCGTTGATTGCGGGAGGAGGGGAGCCGGCGGGGATAGAGGCAAGAGGCGAGGAGGTGTGAGGGGTCGTGTTCGAGTAGGTGGCGTTGTCGAGGGGCGGGACGTCGGTGTCCTCTCCGACGTTGGGAGTGCTGAGCGGCGAGGCGCTGAAGGGGGCGCCGTACGACATGGCTGCAGCTGAAGCAGATCTGTGAGGTTAAGGAGAGACTGAAGTTGGAAAGAGAGGTCAGAGGCAAAAGGTAGTAGAGGGTAAATAATGGAGCGGGACGGAAGTTCGGCGAGGGGAGGGAGGGTGCAAGCTTTACGTAGTGCGAGCGAGCGAGCGTGCAGGCATATAAGGCATCTGACCCAGAATGACGGGTGGATCTGCGGGTAGAAACCAGTGGTGTGTGGTGCCAGACCTGCGGGAGGTCAGGACGGAGGGCATAGAGAGGGTGTAATAATAGCTCGGTCGCAATGCCAAGACCCTGCCGGATGGTCTGCGGTTGGTTCTGCGATTGCGATTCCCCTGGTGCTTTGCCTCGTCGTAAACAAATAATTCCTTTTAAATAGGACAAAGGGTCAACAGCAACTGTGCCTGAGCCGCCGATTGGTACTCCACTTTGGCCTTAACCCACTTGGGACAGCCTGGACTGCCAGACGTCACACACACACACACCACGCTGCTCACTCGATCTCCAAGCGAGACACTGCAGACCAATCAGTGACACACCTCCATGACGTCGCGCCCCTTCCAGACCCCCGCCAGCCTCGCACCTCAGATCCACACGATCCGCGCGATCACGTCCGTCTCCAGGTCCGACTAACCGGACATCGGCCGGCCACCTCTTCAAAACTAGACACATCTCGGATGCATAACGCATGCTTCTCCTATCGTCACAGTGCTTGACTCCGCGAGCGTAGATCGGCGACACACCTTCCTTGCTATCCACAGACTCGTCCCGCAGGAGCCAACTACGACGGCGCGTCCAGCATAATGTCCATCTGATCGTCAGCTGAAATGCAACCATTGCGGAGCTGCCTCGCTGCCAACTTTCCAGCAGTCACTCACGTAGGAGTTGTAGTCCATCGTCGCGCGCCCAGTACCGTTCGGGTCAAAGTTGCGGAACGCCTCGGTGTAGTGCTTGACCGTGACACACGCCATGAGGAAGCGGTCAAAGCTGATGCCCGTGTTCTGGTTCCCTCCAGCCTTGGGCGGGGGCGCAAAGCGCTTCTCCAGCTTGCGCACCATGTCGCTCGGCAGGCTGAACCCAAAGCCCTCGAGAGCGTCGTGCAGCTCACGACGGTCAATCAGTCCAGACTGGTCCTGGTCAAAGCGACCAAAGATGCCGTGCCAGTCCTGGATGTAGCGATACAGTCCCTCAAACTCCATGAAGTTGATAGATCCAGAGCGGTCGGTATCGAAGATGCTCATGAGCTGGAGTGTCAGCTAGACGCACGATGGCCAGAGTAGCTGTGCTGAACAGAGAGGCTCAACCAGGTAACGGCACTCACCATCTTAACACAGTCTTCTCTCGCCTCCATAGTGGCGTCCTTCTCCAGCAAGCGCTGCAGGTCATACGAGCTCAGCTGACCAGTGCGCGACGAGTCGAACTGAGTGAAGCTGTTGTCAGCGGGATCTAACATGAGACACGAACAGTGCACGAAGCTCCGCCTCCTCGTTCGTGAACTGGGGCTGCTGCTGCTGCTGCCGGGGAGGGGGCGCCTGCTGCTGTTGCTGCTGCTGGGGAGGGATGCTCTGCTGCGAGGTGCGGTGGTTCAGGTGCGGCGACTGCTGGTGCTGCTGGTACTGCTGCTGCAACTGTTGAGCAGCAGACGGCTGACCAGGAGGAGGCGACTGGTATCCGCCCTGGCCCTGATACGACGGCTGGCGACCTTGCTGGTGGTACTGCTGGGTCGGGCTCTGCTGCGGGTGATACTGCTGCTGCTGCTGTTGCTGCTGGGGAGGCTGCTGCTGGTACATCTCCTGCTGTCGGGGAGGAGGGCCGTGGCCAGAGTATTGGCGCTGGGGCGGAGGGCGCTGCTGGGGGTGGCCGCCAGCGTACTGGGGCGGCTGTCCTTGCTGATACATCTGCTGGGGAGGCGGCCTGGCCGAGTACTGCTGCTGTCTGGGGGGAAGCTGGTTCGCCTGGAGAGGCGGCTGTTGCGGCTGCTGAGCCTGCTGCTGGGCGATGGCCTCCTCGCGACGCTTGGCCTCTTCCTCTGCGCGCTTACGGGCGTAGCGCTCTTCGTAGCGACGGCGGGCCTCTTCACTGACGCTGCCGTACGGGGACGGGGTGGCCATGTAATTTGAGCGAGGGATGGGGTTGCGTTGAGTGGGAGGTTGAGGAGAAGAAGTGTCGCGCATTGCTCGATCGCCGATAGCGAAAGGAGAATCGCCTCCAGAGGGTCGACCAAGGTAGGCCATGTTGTTGGAACCGGTCAGCGGGGGCTAATGTTGACGACGACGGCCAAGGCGTGGAGGGCGCGTGAGGAGGAGGGGGTGTGAGGGATCAGGCGCTGAGTGAGGGTGAGGCGCGGGGGGGGGAGCCAAGCCACGGACCGTGGGCAGAATTGAGGATTGAGGAAAGCGAGGCTAGGCGCTGGCGGGGGCTCTGCGGGGAGAGGGGCGTGCGGGCGTCAGATTGCGGTGCGAGGGGGCTGCTCGGGCGGATAGCGTGTATTGTCGTGCGATCAGGCCGGAAGAAGGATGGACGGATGATGGAGAGGGTGAGGATGAAAGGATAGAAGGAAGGGTGGAGATGTGCAGATGGACGCGAAGGTGTCGATACCGAGGGGCTTCGGGCTATGAGGGGCTACGCGGTGCCGGGGGGGAGGAGGGCAGGCCCAACCCAGGGACGGAGGGTGCACGCCGGGGGGATCGGGGGGAGGTACGCGACAACGACGACACGGGGGCGTGGGTGAGGAGGGCGAGGGATGCACGCGTATGATTCTCTCGCTGCTGCGGTGTGTCTGAGTGACTGACATGGCCCGTCCCTCGACGCTCGCGATCCTCCCTGGACGCCCTAGACATCGTCTCCGTCAGCGTTAGACCCAGACCCGTGCTGTCATGAACTCCCCCGGCGATGCCGGTTCCTCACCGCCTCCACCGGCCCGGGATGGCACCACCCATTGACGCCAAGGTCAGGGTCCTTGGCCGAGGCTGACGCTAGGCATGCTGGGCAGACATCCCGCAGAAGAGGCGGGCTACTGGATACAAATAGGCACCCAACCTATCCGCAGGCCTGCTACTTCCTCACCATTCACCGACAGCCACACGTGGCGGCACGCCTAAGCTGCCGGATGGAGAAGGGACTGGGTGAATCGGTGACGGCCCGTTGCAGTGCATACGGCGCGGACGCGCTGGGTGGTGGAACCACTATCGACGCAGCATTTGTCTCAGGGCTGCCCCGATCTTAGAGCGCGCGCCACGACGCTCAGCGCTGCGTCCACTCTGTTGACACCCATTGCATCACCTTTAACCCCCGACTACCTACTTCTCCTCCTCCCTTCTACAATCTCCTCTTCGACTCTCTGCAGTCGTTCCCACTTATCTCCTATAGACACCATGGCCACCGTGAGTTACCCGCACATGCACTCACAAGCACATCCCATCCCATCGCAGCGCTGACAGTGCACAGGCTCAGACTGCTGACCCCCTCTCGGGACACCCCGGTCACCTGTGAGTTTCCAACTTTCCCGCGGCTAGGTTCGCGAGATGCGGCAAGAGCAAGACGCCGATGTCGGCTCCGCAACCCAAGCTTCTTGCCTCGCACCCATACCCACGGGCACACATGCTGACGTCCCAGCGACGCCGCTCAGGAGGCTGCCCTCAAGCAGTTCCGCGAGGAGCTCATTGCCGAGGGCCTCTACCCCACCGACCTCGATGCCGCCATCGCCGCGGTCGGCTACAACCGCTACGACGACCAGACGCTGCTCCGCTTCCTCCGTGCGCGCAAGTTCGACATTCCCAAGGCCAAGCTGATGTGGGCCGAGAACGAGAAGTGGCGCAAGTCGTTCGGCGCCGATGACCTCGCCAAGTGAGTGCTGCGCCGATCGCCAACTGTGCCGCGTGTCCACTGCGGTGCCGTGCGCGCGTGTTAGAGCTCCCGATGTCCCGACAGCAAGCTGACCCACAGGAACGGCTTTGACTACAAGGAGGCCAAGGAGGTCGACAAGTACTACCCCCAGTTCTACCACAAGACGGACAAGGACGGAAGGCCCGTCTACATTGAGCAGCTCGGCAAGCTGGACGTGAACGCGCTGTACAAGATTACGACGCAGGACCGCATGCTGCAGCACCTCGTGTACGAGTACGAGACGTTCCTTTCTCAGCGTCTGCCTGCCTGCTCTAAGGTCTCGGGCAAGCTCGTTGAGACCTCGTGCACGATCCTCGACCTGCACAACGCCGGTATTTCGACCTTCTACAAGGTCAAGGACTACGTGTCTGCCGCCTCCTCGATCGGCCAGAACAACTACCCCGAGACGATGGGCAACATGTTCATCATCAACGCGCCGTACCTGTTCTCGACCGTGTGGTCGCTCGTCAAGCCCTGGCTTGACCCGGCGACGCAGGCCAAGATCCACATCCTTGGCAAGAACTACCAGAAGGAGCTCCTCGAGTACATTCCCGCCGAGAACCTCCCCGCCAACCTCGGCGGCAAGTGCAACTGTGCCGGCGGGTGCTCGCTCTCCAACGCCGGACCCTGGAACGTCGTCGCCCAGGAGGGCGCTGTCCCCGCCACGGCTTAACTTTCTCTCCTCTCAAGTATAATGTAGACATGAGCATGTGACTTGTACGATCCCCGCCCTTGACCATCTCACATAAAATGCATGCTGTTATTAATCCGAGCGCTCTGTTCTAAATGTCCTTGTCTTCGTGGCTGGCTGTCGGTTGTTGATGCCCCATCTCGGTGAAATCGTGGGGGCAGGTCGGTGTGACGTCGTTCACCCACGGTCGAGCTGTTCCTCGTTCCTGTTATCCTCTCCCGTCGCCGAGTGGCACTCACTCCTGCCGCGCACGTTTCTTGCCAACCCTCCTCTTCCCAACGCTGAGGGCCGGATCAAACTCCCCATCCTCATACGTATTATACCTGATCCCCCACATGGCCCCGGCCCGTCTGCGTCCCTTCTCCTTCTCATACAGTCCACAGGGATTACAGAGCACCATGCGCCTGGTGCCAGGCAAGCTCCCCATGCGCCAAGTGACGTTCTTCCGGTTGGCCTGCTCAAGGTGACACTCGCCACACACGCGGCGCACGGCAATGTCGTCCCCGTACGGCGCACGCCGGTCGTCCGTGTACCATATCTCGCTCCCCGCATGCCTCAGGCCCGCCGAGGAGGCGGCAATAATGTCCGAGAGAGGAGTGAGGGGTTTCTGCGGCGGAGGACCTTTCAGCACTCGGCCGGAGAGGCGGCCGAGGTCGTACGAGGCGGAGGAGCGGGGGAGAGGAGTAGAGCTGGTGGAGGGGTACGACACGGCTCTGCGCTTGGTGGGAGGAGGACGGGTGGGGTCAGTTTGCAGACTGACGGCACGCTTCGTGGCCCTGTTCGCTGCGCGGGCGCGGGGCGGGGAGCGGGAGCGCGGGGACGAGCCGGGTGTCCAGTCTGAGTCCGAGTCCGAGCCGAGAGATCGCTTGCGGCTCCGCTCGAACGCCTCGCGTCTGTGGCCACTTCCATCGCCCTTCGTGCCCTTCGCGTCGTCGTGATCGAAGCGGCTGTCGAAACGCGCCTCACGCGCCTCACGCGCCTCACGCGCCTCACGCTCCTCAAACCGGCTGTGGCCGTGGCACTCGCCGACCCACCCCGACCGCACCGGGCTCATCATCCCCGCATACCTGAACCCGGGCCCGAGCCGATGCGGCGAGACACAGTCCACCTGCCCCCCTCCCGGCCGCTGGGGACTCAGCATTTCTCCCCGGAAACGTCCCTCGACGCCAGCTGTAGCGGGGTAGAGCGTGTAGTCGCTCCTCAGGCTGAGCGTGGAGGATGCAGAGGGGGGTTCGGCCCACCCGGGCAGATCGCGGGGATGGATCGTGCCGTTTACAATGTAGGCGAGGCCCGGCTGGGGTGCCTGTGGGGGATGGGTTGGGTAGATCGAGGACGGGAGGCGGTGGTAGGTAGGTTCGAACGGCGGTCCCAAGACCAGAGGCGCGCCGAGGCCGCCCAACGCACCCAGACCGCCCGTGAGGGTGTCGAGCGAGTCACACTCGACCCCCAGACCATCGGTGCTGCCCATTTGGTACGACCCTGCCACCGCGGCACCCGTGGCACTCGAGCTCCGCCCTCCCTCAGAGGCTCCGTGACTGGAATTCAGGACCTCGTCTGAGAGAGGGGGGTTGGACTCGGCGCGATGAGCCGGATAGGTCGAGAGATGCGGCGACCGCGCAAAGAGGGAGTAGTCACCGGGGTTGGTCGAGAAGCTGGAACTCCCCGTCAGAGGCGGAGGCAGCTGCCTGTCGTCCCAGAAGAGGACGGCGTTGAGCCCGGTACTGCCGCCGCTGCCACTCAGACTCTCTG